GAAGGCACCTGGCCAGCCCACCTCACTTCTGGGGAGGCAGCCCCAATCGGAGACAGCTGCAGTGGCCTTGCCTAGGGACCCAGGCCTGGCATGAAGCCCTGGACGCTGACAGGTGAGATGCTGCTGGGCTTAGGTACCAATAACGAAATCAGGTTAGGAGGACCCTAGAGACCATCTTTGACTGTTGATTATGTAATGGACCAGCCAGAAAAGAGGGATGGCATGGCATCCTGGCATCTCCCACTCCTCCCTGTCCTCTCTCTCTCTCTCTCTCTCTCTCTCTCTCTCTCTCTCTCTCTCTCTCTCTCTCTCTCTCTCTCTCTCTCTCTCTCTCTCTCTCTCTCTCTCTCTCTTTCTCTCTCTCTCTCAGTGAGGACACCACTGTTACTGTTGCTAGCACTATAGACTGATGAGATATCAAATAAAACTATCTACTTGTCCTTTGACTATAATGCCCAGCCTCTCATCTGCTGCCGCTTCTGGCTTTCTAGTCTGAAGGATGCTGAGCCAGGCCGAGCCTGTCCATGGAAACCTGCCTTTCTGGGCCTCTGACACCCATCAAACTCCATCTCTCTTCCCATCCCTACAATGCCAAAACCACTGCAGGAGTTGGATTAAGGTAGGTGTGGCTTCTGAGGTCATTCAGTTTGTCCCCGCACCCCTGGTGCCACGGCAGCCCCGCTCAGGGCTCTCCTTCCATCTCCACTGTCACCAGTTGCACCCAACAAGCGTCAGGCAGGGCAGGGACAGCTCTAGGCCTTGACATGTGTCTTGTTTGTCATCATCTAGAAGGAACTGCATGGAGAGGAGCCTTTTTGGTGCCTTCCCTACTCAGCAGCCCAAGAAACGTACCAATAGGCTCCTAGGGACAGGAGCCCTTTCCCACAGTGCCTGTCCTGTGACCCCAGCCCTGCTCTGCCTGGTACACATGGAAGTCTACCCACAACAGCAGTACCCAGCTGTAAGGCAGCTTCAAGCCCAGAGCTATAAAGAAGGTAGTCCCTGGGAACGCGCTCTGTGAAGGTAATTCCCCTCAAGGCTCCATGTAGGCCTCTAACTCCCAGGTAGAATTGAATTGGCCTAACTCATAGCCTCAGCCCCACTGACCAGAGAATCTATCAGGAGAGTGAAGGCCATCCTGTTCAACTCCTGACCTAGAGGTGAAGTCCCAGGCAGATTCTTCATGATTAATCCTATTTAACTCTTGCAAAGCGATGACAACAGTGCTCAGTTTATGATCTCATTTATCACCCTCCCTGTCACTAAAATATGAGATGCAAATGCCCCACCTAAATATTTGAAGAGAGGCCAATGAGCACCGAGGATAGATTCCCTCTTTAGCAGCCCTGGCTGGAGATCATCACTACAGGGTGCTCTCTGGGCTGGCCTCCCCTGGTGTCATCTGGGGTTTGCTACGGAGCAAGAGAGGAAATGGACAGGATTCAGACTTTTGTCTTGGGACTCCATCTCCTACTAAGCCAACACGGAGGCATGCACTCCATCGCTACGTGGTAAGAGATGAAAATGATGAGCTCAGCTAACGTCTGAGAACAAAAGTGGCAATTGTTTGCTGGTGGGAGGGGAGCATTTGTGGGCTTTGAAAACTCTGAAAAATAAGGATAAACATTTCTGTGACTCATGGATGAGTCATGGCCAACTGTCTGCCTGACCTCTCTCCGTGGTGGGTTCTGGCTGCACTGACTTGGGCTAGCCCACGCTCCTGCCCTGGGCTCTGAGCTAACTCTCAAGCCAGTTGATCTAGGAATGACAGCAGCAGATACACACAGCGCATGGGGTATGCCCAGTCTACACAAGGAGGCAGAGGCTGGGGATGCCAGGATTCCTATGACAGAGGCTGAGTTTGGTATGATTTCTTCCTTCAGCAATAGAGCTAGACTAGCTGTGCATTTGGTGAAGAATATTCTAGATTGATGTGGGGAGGACCACAGAACTGTCAGTGTGGAGTGATCCAGCTAATGGACAGCAAGCACTCAGACTTGTGACTTGGCAGAGACATCTGGTGTCTGCTTCCCTGGCCTACTGTGGCTCTGTCTTAAGGCTTTCTCTACAAGGACAATTGGATGAGAGAATCAGGGAGTTGAGGGCCTCTGGTACAGCCCTCCCTGGGACTGGCAGAAACTGGTGAATAAATCACACAGTTCCCTCTGCCTTGCTGATTCTAAGGTGCATTCCATAGCAGACCAGCAGCCCCAGGGGGAATAGGCCCAGCTGTCCACAAAAGTCATTGCCAACCCTTCTATTGATTTTCCTTCCTTCCCATATGGTGTGTTCTGGAATAACCATCTGTGTTCAGATCCTGTCTTAGGGTCTATGGGGTGGTTTGAATAAGAGTAGACTCATATATTTAAATGTTTGGTCACCAGGGAGTGGAACTGTTTGAAAGGATTAGAAGGATTAGGAGGTGTCACTGAGGGTGGGCTGTGCAGTTTCAAAAGTCCATGTCAGGCCTAGGATCTCTCTCTGATCAGGACATAGCTCTCAACTACTACACCAATGCCATGTCTGTCGGTGCCACCATGCTTCCCACCATGACAATAATGGACTAACCCTCTGAAACTATAAGCAAGCCTCCAATTAGAGGCCTTTTTTCTAAGAGTTGCCTTGGCCATGGTGTCTCCTCACAGCAACAGAACAGTGACTAAGACAGTCTGCTACTTGGGAAAACCCATCTGAAAAGAAGGTATGTGTTCTGCTTGGGTCAGAGGATTGAAGGGGAAGAGAACCTGGTTCTCTCCTCTGGAATCTTCAACTTTAACCCTGGAGAAAACAGAGAGACTGACGTACAGCAGCTCAAAGCTGAACCCCAGATCATCGGGCACCCTCCAACTGTGCCCCAGGGACCTGCTTCAAGTGCGGTTTAGCCCTCAGGAATTCCCATGAGCCCTCAGGAGTTCCCATGAGCCCATGAGCCTGTCAGTTATGCACAAACTTGAGCCTCGGTGACCACCGTCTGTGAAACCTTAGCAGTCACTTCCTAGACTCCTAACTCAGGTATGCTCTTTAATCTCTTGGGTTTTGAATGGCACATCTGTGATTAAGCACTCGGTCATAGTGGCATTTCAGGCCCACAGGAAACACACAGTTACTTCCCACATGGTGTCTAGTAGCTAACATGCACACGTTTATGAAGTTAATCTCTGCTCTCTGTCTTGAGCAAAAATCATTTCAGTTATGATTAAAATGGTAAGCATTAAATCAAATAAAACTACAAAAGTAGTAAAGAGAAATGTCAGTTAAATACATCTGCAACCATAAGGTGGGTAAATAATTTCCTGAGTGACTTCAATGGAAAAAAACTATATAAAGAAAGAAAACACACAAAACTGCTTTATAAACAATAAGATAAAAAGGGAAACACCAAGAATTTGCAGCCAGGATGGGCACAATGCTTGCACAGTCTCAAGTTCAAAGCTGCATGTCAGTACACTAACAGCATTTAAAAAGCTACAGTATGTGGTGAGATAAAGACTACAACTATATATACTGATAAACTAGAAGAACGCATAGCCGTGCTAGTCATTAAAGAAGGCCATGTCTTGTTTCCCTCACAAAGAAAAGGAAATGTGAGCAACGGGGCTGGGGAGAAGGCTCATGTGACAAAGTGCTAACCTCACAAGCAGGAGGACTTGAACTTGATCCCCAGACCCCACATACAATACAATCCCAGCACTGGGGGGGTGGACACCCATGGACCCTGGATTTGATCCCCAGACCCCACATACAATACAATCCCAGCACTGGGGGGGGTGGACACCCATGGACCCTGGATTTGATCCCCAGACCCCACATACAATACAATCCCAGCACTGGGGGTGGACACCCATGGACCCTGGATTTGATCCCCAGACCCCACATACAATACAATCCCAGCACTGGGGGTGGACACCCATGGACCCTGGATTTGATCTCCAGACCCCACATACAATACAATCCCAGCACTGGGGGGGTGGACACCCATGGACCCTGGATTTGATCTCCAGACCCCACATACAATACAATCCCAGCACTGGGGAGGGTGGACACCCATGGACCCTGGATTTGATCCCCAGACCCCACATACAATACAATCCCAGCACTGGGGAGGGTGGACACCCATGGACCCTGGATTTGATCCCCAGACCCCACATACAATACAATCCCAGCACTGGGGGGGTGGACACCCATGGACCCTGGATTTGATCTCCAGACCCCACATACAATACAATCCCAGCACTGGGGGGGTGGACACCCATGGACCCTGGATTTGATCTCCAGACCCCACATACAATACAATCCCAGCACTGGGGAGGTGGACACCCATGGACCCTGGATTTGATCCCCAGACCCCACATACAATACAATCCCAGCACTGGGGAGGGTGGACACCCATGGACCCTGGATTTGATCTCCAGACCCCACATACAATACAATCCCAGCACTGGGGAGGGTGGACACCCATGGACCCTGGACCTCACTGGCCAGCCTAGTTCACTCACAGAACTCCAGGCCAGTGAGAAATCCCTTCTCCAAAAAAAAAAAAAAGTGGAGAGATACTGGGCAGCAGGGACACCAAGACTGTCCTGTGTGTCTCCTACACAGATATGTACATACATGCACAGGCACCCACATAAACACACACACACACACACACACACACACACACACACACACACACACACACTGAAAAGAAAAAGAAGTACCTGGAAACCTAGACAGGAAAGCCATTGTCCTGAGCTGAAGACTTGAGATACACAACCACCTCCAGTTTCCAAGGGTTCACCTTCCCCACCCCATGGATTCTACTCTAGCAAGTTAGTATCTCTCCTCCCCACATGTAAGAGTTATGTCAGAAAGATACTAACTGAAGGAGTGCTTTCAAGGACAAGATGTTAGCTAGAAACATGAATTTGAGGGAATAAACGGAAGCAAATCAAACTGTAGGAGATGCTACAGTTGTGAAAAATAACACCAAGCCAACACAGGTATTTGTATAACAAATGTTCACAAAAGGAAGTTAGTTGAAATCAGAAGTTAAGTTTAAGGTGTTTAGGACATAAACATAGAGATGCTTGGCCACACACAGGCACCCCCTAGTGTACATCCATAAAGTCTAACTTTAATGAGGGCATATAATAAGGGAGGGAAAAAATCAATCCCAGATATTTCATTTTAAATAAGATGATTAAACATAAATCATCTATACATTCAAGTAAGACAGAAAGGGATAAAGACTTCCCATTTAAAAAAATAAAAAGGAAGGAAATCACAAGGTATGTAGAAAACAAATTAAGAAATTATAAAAGAGAACCACACCATTAATAAATAAAGCCATGTGTTCTCATAAAGAGCAAAAAACAGAAAAGCTTGGGAAAGCATGCATGTGCACTGTGGTCCCTACAGTGTTTAAAAGCATAGAAAGCCCTAGAATAAGTCAGCCAAGACATTAGATGTTACTTCCTCTATAATTTTAAAACTTTCACTTCTTTTTCAAATATTCTGTAATGAATATGAGTTCAGTTACCATAAAACGGATCCCGAGAAGCCACGCGGAGGGACAGAGACTGTAGCGAGACAGTTTTAAGTGGCAGATGTTGAAGGGCAATGGTGGGTGGTTAAAGGGGCGGAGGTGAAAACTCAGCCCAGGAGGGTGGTGCCATGGGCTCAGACAACCGTCTCTGTTGTGCCCTGGACCCTCAGAAGCATGTGGGCAGAGAGCAAGCAGAAGCCACAGGCTGCGGGTAACAGCAGGAGAAGAATTCCAGGGCATGAGGACATGAAAAGCTCAGAAAGGTCCCCAAAGAGGGGGGACGCTGGGCCTGGCAGAGAGAAGGACTCATGGATCCCAGCCACCGAGGGAAGCTGTCAATCATGGGTAAGGAGACAGAGGGTGCGGGCTCAACAGCAGGTGGAAGCTGGAGACACCCTTTCTTGGAGTCGTCTCTGAAGACGCCATCTAAGTCCCTTCGTTTTTAACTAGTACATTAATTTCCGTGACAAGGGGCTTATTCAAGTTCCACGCTGTCTTTCCAGTCTCACAGATGTGTTGAGTCGATTGTTATAGACACTTCTAACAGCACAGTGGTCAAACTGATGAATTTCAAGATGCGTTGGGTTTTCCAAACTCTGATGGGAAAAGCTCCGGAGGAATGTTCACCTCCCCATACACTGCAGATGAGAACAACAACAAAAAAAAATGCAAGTCATCCAAGATACTTAGCAAAGTCACATATTTGTGTAACCTTTGATGACCCAACAACTCCTCCTCTAAGAACAGATCTGAAGGGCACACTAAGGGAAATGCGCTTGCATAAGGCATAAAACAAACCACCATGACTCTGGTTACCATAGCCAAAGGTGGCAGGCAGCACAAAGGAGCTAGAAAGGGAGAGCTGCCGGGATAAACTGTGGTATGTCCATGAGTGGAGTAGTATGCAACTATAAAAAGGAGCTAGAAAGGGAGAGCTGCCAGGATAAACTGTGATATGTCCATAAGTGGAGTAGTATAAAACTATAAAAAGCAATGGAATGTTCTGCATAATAGTAAGGTGTGGATATACTTAGGATAGATATAGATATATAGATGTAAACAGATATACATATCCCAAGCAGGGGCACCAGAGAAATGGCTCAGAGGTTAAGAGTGATCGTTGCTCTTGGAGGGGACCCTGTTCATTCCCCAGCATTCACAGAGGGTGACTCATGGTGACGTCCAGCCCCAGGGGATCCACTGCTCTCCTCCAGCACACACATACACATAAATAAAAAACTCCCATCTTTTTAAAAAACCAAGGTAGGTTCAAAATGCCTGTCTCTGTGGTGTTCTGAGTAAGAACACGCCACCTAGGTGCATTTTCCTGAACACTTTGTCGCCAGTTGGCGGCACTGTATAGGAAGGATCAGAGGGTACCGCATAGTTGGAAGAAGTGTGTAACTGGGGCAGGCTTTGAAGGCTTAAGATCTGCTCGCTCTGCTTCCGGCACACAGCTCAAGCTGTGAGCTTTGCTCTGCTTCCCATGTGAAACTCGAGCTGTGACCTTGCAGCATCCGGCTGCTGCCGCCACAGCTGCCACCAGGCCTGCTGCTTGCGGCCACACGTCCTCGCCATGACCAACTCATGTCCAACTGGAACTGCAAGCCACATTAGCCATTTGTTCTGTAAGCTGCCTTGGTGGCTGTGTTTTTCTCTCAGCAACAACACAGCCGTGTTACTCTGTGCTAGAAATTTGCATATGGATATGAATAAGATGATTGATGCTGGCTGAGAATTATCTCTGGGCACCTGGGGGAAGGGATTACTCCAACTGGGTTAACTGAGGCGGGAATACCTACTCTGAATGTGGGCATCACAATGCCCTATGGACTGATCCTGGACTGATTTACAGGAAAGAGATGAGCTGAGAACAAGCATTCACTCCCCCTGCCTCATCCTCCTGCCAGCATGCTCTCCCCACCATGATGGACCATGTCCTCCTCAAACTGTAAGCCAAAGTAAATCGTCCCTTCAGTAGCTTCTTGTCCGGTATTTGGCCTCAGCCATAGGAAAATACAATAAACACTTGAGGCAGACCAAGAAGGCAGAGCAGAGGACTGGTTACACTGTAGATGAGCAAGGCCTGCTTGCCCAGCTGTAACCAACATCAAATTCCATACAATAGCAACAAATACAATAAAAAGTTTATAAGCAAATATTCAACTCCTAAATGGGAGAAGAAAGGATACATGATGGCAAAATCGCCTGCAGGAGGAAGGAGCAAGGGACAGCAGTGACATCTCTGAAAGTAGCACAGCTTCACAATCTGATGTGCAATCCCTTAATAAATAACACGCACCGTCATGGTCAGACAGTCACATGATGTGCTGGCTGTGTAGCCCAGGGCAAATCCTGGAGCTGCCTTGGAATCCTGTCTGTCACACCGGCCCCCAACCATACTTCACATCACCATTACAGATGCCCTCGGGGTGAGAAGGACCTTGGAACTCAGAGAGGTCAGCATCCTGGCTCTCCACGTGGTGAATGTGAGCTTGGAACTCAGAGAGGTCAGCATCCTGGCTCTCTACGTGGTGAATGTGACCTTGGAACTCAGAGAGGTCAGCATCCTGGCTCTCCACGTGGTGAATGTGAGCTTGGTGCTAGCTGGGCAAGCAGTTCTTGCTCAGCCACAGGGCAAGCAGTTCTTGCTCAGCCACAGCGCAAGCCGTCCTCTGCTTTGCCTTCTCGGTTTGCCTCAAGTGTTTAGCATTTCCAGCTTTTTCCTCCACCTGTGAGAACCCTGTGGAAATTATTCTTAATGGTCCATGAACAGATCAAGGCCCAGCCAGGCTCAGATGTCTGTAGTTGCTGTGTTCTAATTTATTGGCAATATGTTGAGTAATGTTTTCCTCATTGTTTCCTAGTTCGGGCTCTTTACCAGATGAAAAGTGGCCAAAGACAGTTATTAATTAAATAAAAATGCAGCAACCAAACATGGAGCGTGGAGAGCCCAGAAGGCTAGGTAGAAGGGAGATCGTCGTACCTTTCCATTTAGGCATTTATTTTCGGGACCCATGTGCAACTAACTTCTGGTTTTGTCTCCTATCAAACAACTCTTTGAACTGGTTTTCCCTCTAAAGTCATCTCACACGAACCCCTATTAGCTCATGAGTCAGCGCACTCTCATTAAAGAGAAACTGTGGAAAGCAAATTGAATCCATTTCCAACTCTGAAGAGGAAAGGGTACAAGGGCCATGGAGTCAGTGGTCCAGGATACTATCCTGCCCATTTGCAGACAACACTCTGAAACCCTGGCATTTAAGCAGCTCTGCCTAAACTCCTTGTTTGACAGATAAACTGAGCCAGGACATGAGGGGGTATCGCTATCAACAATGCATGACTACATAATGGCTTGCATGGGGGCTTTGGATCCCCAGGGGCTCCCCCTTGGCCCCTGGAACAGGGCCAGTGAAACCAATGAAAAGCATGCCCAGCCCACGTGTGGTTCCTGAAGAGGCTATTGCTAACGGAAATGCACAGTGACGTAAATTGGGCAGACGCTCATGTGTTACTGTTTTGAACAAAAACAGAACATGTGTCTTTGCTTTGCCCCCTGTGGGAGAATCTTCTGCTTGACTGTGCTGAGCATCAACCGGGTGATCCTCTATAGGACAGGACAAGCGGGGAAGGGGAGCTTCTGGAGCCTTCATTCCAGAGACTGAGTATTCTCACTGCCAAGGGGAGCTGAGAGACCCCTACATAACTGCCTAGGGGGCAGGTCTTTCTGTCCCTGCTGACCTGAAGACCCGCTGTCTCTTCACTTAACAGAGAGTTGGTGACATTTCATAACGTTATCTGAGTTAATAGTTTCTGAAGCTTGAAAATGATTTGCAAGAAATCAGTGGAAATATGAGATATTGGCCTAAGTGAGAGTATTTGTGTGTACTAAGATAGAAAAATCATAAAAGCTTATGAATTTTGAAAATGTGAGCTTTTAAAGATTTTATATCTAAATTCAGGCCTGTCAACCTTGGTGCTATTGATACTGGGGGAGGGGGGCGGCTGCCCTGGGCATTGCAGACAGTCACGACATCCCTGCTGTCCACTCACTAAGTGGCAGAGGCCATTGCCACAGCACACAGCACTATGTGGTAACTCATGCCTTTAATTTCAGCAGTTGGGCCGTTGAGACAGGCAGATCTTTGAGTTCGAGGTCAGTCTGGCCTCTAACCAAGCAAAACAACATACAACCATTGTAACCATTATTAACATCGCCAGACATCACCCAGTGTCTCTTGGGGACAGAACCACCACAACAAGCACTCAGTCAAACACTGGTCATGTATCTCAGATTGAAAAACACACAGCACCTGCTGCCCTCCAAGAAGCCATCCAGTAAAGGCACCCACCAGTTACCACCAAGCACATTTCTATAGTTCCAATTAAAGATTCTCCCCAAAGGCAAAGCTTCCTAAGGGCCCAGCGGCCTAAGGACCAACCCAGCCCCCACTCAGCACAGACTGCCGTGGATGGAAAGAGGCTGCTTATAGCAGGCAACATAGGGCAAGGAGAGCAGAGGCTGGCACAGGCGTGCATATATGGGGCCTACCTGCAAAGCTTGCTCCCTGGGAGCTCTGCTTCCTAGTGCTGGTTCTTTACATTAATTACGGTAATAACGTCACATTATAGAAAATTTGGAAAGCACATAAAAGCACAAGGAGACGTAAAAACAACCCCCTCCGCCGTCTCACCATCAAAGAAATTGCTCTTGACAGATGCGCATACTTCAGTCCAGATGATGCTCCACGCACATTTTTGCCTTCTTAAGGGTCCATTTGTTTTGTTTTAAAATTCCGTGTTGAGGCTCCCGCCTCCATCAAGAGAACACTTTGGAAGTAAAATGGATTATAATGGAACTAACCATCCATGTGTAAAAGGCACAAGGCAAAGTGTTTCCCAGGTTTTTGCAGATAGTCTTCACGCCTGCAACATACATAGGTCACTGCACATGAAATGCAGAGTTGGCCTTGGGTGCCAAGCTGTCTTGGCAGTATTAACCTGTTCCCTAAAAAGCTAAACTCCACTAGCAGAAGAATGTCTGCTCATAAAACCTTTGCTGCCATTAGATTCCACCACTCTTCACGAGCAGAAATACTACCAATTTCCGTCTTGACTTACATTTCTTTATGAGGGAGAATAGCTGGACTTTTAGTTACACACCCTCTTCAATAGTCTGTGGCCCTGTCTGAGCTTTCTCGAACCTCCTATCTACCAACCCTGTGTGTCCTCCTCTTAATAATGGACTGCTCGGTGGGTGAGAGCATTTGCTGCTCTCCCACAGGGCCCTACGTTTCCCAGCATCCAAGTCAAACGGCTCATAACCACCTGTACCTCCAGCTCCAGGGCATATGACTCCATCTTCTGGCCTCTGTGGGCACTGCACTCACATAGACACACATATACACATAAATAAAAATAAATCCTTAGGAGCTGGAGAAAAGGTTCAGCAGTTAAGATCACTAGATGCTTCTCCAGAGGATCTGGGTTCATTTCTCAACACCCACATGGCAACTCACAACTGTCTGTAGCTCCAGATCCAGGAGATCTGACATTGTACAGACATACTTTCAGGCAAAACACCAATGCACATGAAATAAAAACAAACAAAAAAATAAGCATTTTTAAATAATAATGACAGTAATAATGTCCTATTCAAGATTCATTAGCAACTTTCCTTTTATTCAGGTACACAATTAAACACAAATTTGCCCAAGGATTTTAGTACCTTTTAAATATAAGTATGAAACTCTTAAGAAAAATCTATGAACCTAGAGCAGTTAAGGGAACCAAGCCACAGGAGAACTCATACTTGATGAAATAAGGAGGAATGGAGCAATTAGAAAAGGACTTTAAGATTAAATTGTTGGGTTTTATGGTGAAGAGGAATAGCAGCCATTAAGTGAGAGTAGAAATGTCAGGTTGAAGAAAGATCTTTCTGGGAGCCCTGACACTGGAAATCACACCACTAAAGTAACAACCAAAAATTAAAAAGCAGCTAACTTAAAATGTATGCTAGACACAACTAAAGAGAGACTCTATGAATTAGAACACAGGCCTGAGGATATCACTCAGAAAGCCACGCAGAAATGAAGAAACTCAGAGACATGAGGGAGCAAGTAAATCATTTCAAGACATACATACATACATTCATATGCACATACATACATACATACATACATACATACATATGTACACAGACACACAGACACACAGACACACACACGCGGAGTCACAGAAGAAAAACCAATCAAATGGGCATACAGACAATTCAGTGCAGAAAATTACCCATAACTGCAAGTTAAAGAAACTCACTTATAAATGAGAAGGACTAAACTTCTACAAAGGAGTCCAGCTCACACATCAGATGAGGAGCATTGTGGGGGAAAAGGGAAAACATTCCTAATACCAGATCAAAGATCTGTGGCAGGCTGCCCCCAAAGCCTGGCACTTGTAGTTTTGAGGGGCAAACAAAAACAGCAGGCAACCCAGAATTCCATGCTGGAGTAAGCTGCTGTGGACACAGTCGGGCACACTCTGAGTGGCATCTGCCAGGAGTTTCCGCATTTGCCAGTATGTGGAGCCTCGAAGCACTAGGATTGCTTGCATCTTAGAGTGCATGATCTCATCAGGCTGGGGTGGAGCCCAGGCGTCAGAACATCCCAGTGTGAAGATAACTTTGGCATCTCCTGGCGTAGATCCCTTAATTATTGAAGAGTGAACTTTAGCGAAAAGAAAAATGAGCCCACCCCCCACGAAAGTCCATAACAGGGTGTGGTAAGATCCGGCAGAGGAAACCACAGTGCATGACTCCATTAAACACTGAACTGCAGGTGATGGGAGACTCAGCATGCACTAGACCTTCCTTAAAAACAAATGGTGACTTGAACAACGCTGGCCACCAGTATTCTAGTTAGTGACATGAAGACAAGAAGGTATCTTGGAGTAAAGTTTTAAAAAAATGAGGTCACTTGTTTAAAAGCTACAGGTGACCTTTGAAAGAATAAAGAAATTAATAGGCAAATTAAGACAAAATTGCCAAAACCAAAACAGGTCATGAATGTTGATGGGAATCACAAGAAAAGACGGCCAGAGAGTGGGGCCAAGGCGAGGGGAGGTCAAGATGAACACAGTGTATTAAATGCACACACAAGACGCCATCATGAAACCCTGCTTTGTGTCACGTGCTTTTCCTTGTTGGTATGTTTCTTTGAGATAGGGTTCTCTATTATATAGCTGTGGATGTCCTGACTCACTATTATGTAGACCACACTGACCTTGAACTCACAGAGATTCATCTGCCTCTACCTAGTCCTGGAGTTAAAGGTGTGCACCACCACACCTATCCTTGTTGTATGCTTTTTAGAAGCATGAGAGAAAAACTCAGATGTATCAATAATCACAATAAATGTAAATGAATTAGGTTCACATTTCTAAAGACAGTTTTTAAACTACTTCAGCTGCTAAAATTGAACTTTTTCTCATTCATTGAAATGAGTGTGAAATCCTAAACACAGCACCCAATTCTCAAAAGAAACACGGCTCACCAAGGCTCGGCTGTGCAGCCTGCACACGCTCAACAACACCTCGGAGAATTGAAAGAAAAGAGGGAACACCCACGTGTGGAGCCTGGGTTGGGTGAAAGTGATGCTTTTAACTCAGTTCTACCAACCATTGATAGAAAACCCAAAGGTTCTGGAACTCCGGAACTCACGGAGTGGACCCTGAGGTCCTGACAGAGACAGAGGGTGAGGCAGGAAGGGCGCCTAAGGCACAGCCCCAGAGTGAGCATGGGTGTGAGTGACCAGGTGCCAGGATGCATCATGAGAAAGCAGTGGAAACAGCTGTGACGCCCTCAAATCAGCTATGCCTGCACCTTCCCGGCCTTTCTTCACAGGACCCATTCCTGAGGACCAGAAGCTCCTGTCCACAGCTGCACGGGACTGTGACTCTCCACCACAAGGCTCAGCAGCTGGATAAGGATAGTAATTTTTAAAAGCTTGGGTTGCACATATCTGACTTCTGAGTTGAGATTTGCCTGAGTTCAGGAGGTAACGTGAAAATCAGGGGTGAGTCAAGGGCTTGCCTAATCCCAAAGCTGTGAAAGGCTACCCCCCAATGACTACACTTAAAGGGGCGGGGAGCAAACATTACGCCCCACTTAATCCCAACATGGAATGCTCCACATTTTGTCATGTGATACTCAGCCCTGTGCACTTTATGACAGACACACCCTAAACACGGGGACACAGGGCCTGGAGAAAAGGAGGGTAAAACATGCTCTCAGTTGCTACACGAAAGAATCCTGGATGGCTTTATGCATATTATATCAAACAGATTGCAGGGCAAGAAGTGTGGTTAGGGACGAAAAGATCAAAGTGGTAATTCTAAGAAGATTGGCAGCCCCCAGCCCACGCACGTCTCAAAAACTGACGCAGCTGTAGGACGATGGCAAACCCATCATCAGGGCAAGATGCTCTTTGTTGCACTCCCCTCACTAACAGATGAATTAAGCTTTCAAAGTGCCCGTAAGAACAGAAAATATTGAAACCCCATAATGTGTGTTATTATGCATCTCACAAATACACATTCTTTCAAACACACACATGGTTTTTTTAAGTTGGCCACATACATAGTGGATCAGAAAGGAACTCTTGAAAAAAACAATCCCAAGATTTGAAAATATGCAGTCAACAATGAATTTAGAAATAAAAGTTCAAAGCCAGCTAAAATGTCCCCGTACATTTGGAAACCAAATAACACCGTTAAATAATTCATGGGTCTGGAAGAAATTGTGATGGAGATTATGAACATTGAGAACTGAGTCACAATAAAAGAACTATGCAAAACAACTGTGGCCTGCAGACGGCCATCTTACTGGGAATTTAACAGGAAATATACATAGGAAGGAAATAGCCTAAGGAAGTGAGCATATTTAAAACCAGCATGCTAAGAGTTTTGGAGGTTACAGGGCTGAGTAAGTATACAATAAAAAATAGCAAAAGTTAGCATTATTGAAATGATAAGAATTAAAATATAGAAAAAACGTAAGTGTATTCTTTGCAAAGTACTAACTTTAAAAACAAACTTCTTTCTTCTTGGTTGAGCATATTAGAAATTAGTTATCAATAAGCAAAAATAAATGAATGACCCAGGACCGATACACTTGAAATAGTATATATGATCGACAACCTTCTTTTAAAAACTCAGATCCAGAAGATTCTACGTCAACTGCTCTGTTCCAAGGACTAGAAAAAGATGAGAAAACATCCCCACCACAAGCTAAGGTCCCTACAGCAGCTAAGCATAACTCAGGAGAGGGGGGAGGCAGGACGAACAGGCTCCACAACCCAAACAAGGACAGGTGAGTGGGCTCAGTCAGCAAAGGACCCACAGGGTGAAAGGCAAGAAGCCACTCCCTCGCCGTGTCCTCTGACGGCCACACGTGCACCCACGGCATGTGTGTGTACACACCAATAAAAATTAACCCAGGAGAATCTGAAACAAAATCCCAAACACAATACCAGCTAATAGAATCCTAAGATTCAGTGGACACTATACATCCTGGTGGAGATGTACCAAGGAATTCAACAATGGCTTCACATTAAAGAATCCGGTACTATGATGCAACTAACAGTGAAAACAGACCAAGAAAAGCACTTGGTGATCTAAGCGGATACAAAGCAAATGCCTGACAAAAGCAAGCATCCTTTACTGACGAAGGGACGTTTTTGAAAACTGGGAACAGAGGGCAGCTTCTTCCTCTATTAGTAGACAGCAAGCAAAAACCTCCAAAAGATATTCTGATGGGGTTGCTACATGTCTTTTGCCCCCAGGGAACAGACAGATCTCAATTCTTTAAAGGGCTCTCCAAAGACCAAAGAAAAGAGGCAATGAGGAGCTGTTCCCAATTAGACAGGGGCTGAAGAGTGACAGCTAAGTGCAACGTGTGACTTTTTATCTTTCTTGTGGGGCAAGAGATGGAACCCAGGGCTTCGCACGTGTTCAACAAATGTTCTATCCCAGAGCCAACTCCACAGCTCCACGGTGTGGTTTTTGATTGGTTCCTGAATCAAGAAAAAAAAAAAAGACCCATAGTATAGGATCTTATGGAAGAACAGTGGGTAAAATTTGAGTATCTGTCACGTAATTGATGACAGTGTCATCAATGCTAATTTTCCTGGGTTTTGTTTTATCCTAAATGGCCTCATTCTGAAGCTGCAATAACTGAAATACCTAGGATGAAATATCATGAGGTCTGTAGATTATTCTCCAGTGGCTTAGAATTAAACATAAAGAATAAAATAGCCGGATGTTAATAACAGCTGATGAAAGGCAAACCATTCAGACATGTTCATTCGCTTATTCTGTAACTTTTCTGAGACTTGGGAAAGGTCATAACAAAAAGCTGGGAGATGCCTTTCTATCTTTATCTTGCACATATCTGTTGCTGGGAATTGAACTCAGGACCTTGAGCATGCTAGGCAGTACTGTGCTGCTGAATCCTAGTCCCTGCCCTCTGTCTGCTTATCCGAAAACGGGGTCTGACTATGTAGTCCAGATTAGCCTTGAACTCACTCTGTCTCCCAGAAAATCCCTGGAATTCAGATCCTCCTGCTCAGCCTCCCTTGTAGCTGGGACTATAGGCTAAGGTCCTGCTGTCTCTAACACTGAAGGGGGAAAGTGGAGAAGTTTTGTTTGTCCTGCACTCACACAGTTCTAAAATTACAGCCAATGCAATGAGACAAGAAAAATAAGTAAGGCACATGAAAGCTATAAAAGAAATTACGTTTTGCTTATATCATGACAATATACACAGGAAAAAAGTCTTAAGAATACAAAATAACTTAATAGCTTCTTCTACAGGAGCAGTCCCCAGGCCAATGCTATGTAAACTCACCACCCAGTGTTCAAACGGGGTATAAAACAGAAGGAACAAGTCTAAACGTGGGTTGAAGATCTATCTGTACAAAGAACGGTAGCATGCCTTCCCACAGGATACCTAGAGGACTTACACAACAATGTGCAGCATGCTCGCACACAGGAAGACACCAAACCATGAAGACATTGTTTCTCCACGAGATCACTGACTGCCCTTCCCACCAGAAGCCCGTTGCTTTCCTGGACCTGTGCAAGCTGCTCTTGACACCAGCAAGCAGGAGCAGGATCTTAAGTGCAAGAAAATCACGACTATGTAAACGACAACAGGGCCAGCATATTAGCCAGGCTTCTCTAGCCTCTCTAGAGTCTACAGCAGTGGTTCTCAACCTCCCTAATGCTGAGACCCTTTAATACAGTTCCTCGGGTTGTGGTGACCCCCAACCATAAAATTATTTTCCTTGCTACTTCATAACTGTAATTTTACTACTGCTATGAACTGCGATGCCAATATCTGATATTTACATCTATGAAAAGGTCTTTTAATTCCCCCCAGGGTCATGACCCACAGGTTAAGAGCCACCGGTCTAAAGGGACAGAACTGATAGACTGTATATTTAGAGAAAGGGGATTCATTACAAACTGTGGTCCAGCTAATCTAACAATGGCTCTCTACCAACGGAAAGTCAAAGCATCCAGTAGTTAGTTGTTCGGTCCACGAGGCCTGCTGTTTGAGCTGGCCTTTAATATGTGCCAGCGTCTACATGGTGGAAGGAGAGAACCAATTCCTGCAAGCTGTCCTCTGGCCTCCTCAGACATCCGTGCCATGGCACCTGTGAACCAACACACATGCACAGAGAGACACACACAAAATAAGCATGAAAAAGTATTTCATCAAACACACAAGACCGACAGAGCGCTTAACACCTTTGCCTGAACCCCGTAAAAGGAACACCTAACCCTATGGTGGCGATGGCCTCCCCAATGTGCCCTGTGACAAGCTGGCATGTGTCAAGGAACAAACAGTCAACCAACTCCCAGTTGTCCCCAGGGCTTCAGCTCAGTGGAATCCCTACTACTTGACCTGGTCCACTCCAACTGCTCCCTGACCATCCATTCACCTATCCATCTTTCTGCCAAGACCTATGCCTTCACTTCTAATTAATGCCCATGCCTCTACCATCTGGGCCCAGCTCTAGGTGGCTTCAGGACTGATCCCTTAATATCCTTCCTGCCCACGTGAACTTATGCCTAATTATCATTAACCCTCTGCCTCTTAATCTAACGAGGTCTCTTAAACCCTCTGAAGTCTATAAGGTCACTCTGCAGCCCACATATACATATGTACATACACAGATGTGTGTACTATATGCACGTCTGTGTCTATGAACTGCAATGTGTGATCTGAGGGCTAGTATTAGTATAAATACTAATATTAACATAAACACGAATATAATAGTAATCAACAGGATGGCGCCAGGGTAAAGCCGCCAGCCTGAGCATCTAACTCCATGAAGCAGAGTGATGAAAGGAGACAGCCAGCTCCCACTGGTTGTCCTCTGACTCTAAGGGTTTGTAGTCTTCCCTCCCTACCATAGCTTCTGGAAAACCATCTCACCCCCAAGTGCCTAAGGTGACAGTAGCCGAAAGAGGCCGCTGAAGTCAAGTCCTGCCCTGCAGACAGCCCAAGCCCTCCTGCTGGGTCCTCTTCTGGAATGGGCTCTGCCCATGTGTTGGGGGTCTGGTTATAGCAGGAAAAACTTTTCAGAAGTGAAATTCTGAAAAGCAGATTTCTGAGGGCCAGCAACTGTTAAGTCTCTGGAGACAGCGGCTGAGCCGGCTGGGGGACGGGAAGCAGAAAGATCCATTTGTCCCTTTCAAATTATTACCACCAAAGAGCTGTGCCCTCAGTCAAGGTTTTCCAGGGAAAGCCCCATCCCCAGCTCCCCTGGGATTCCCGTCAGCATTCATAATTATTTTCCGCAGCTGTCTGCTGAGATGGCTCCCGTTAAACCTTAATCTCCTCCATGTGGCCTCCTTCTGGGCCAAGGCTTCAGCTAAAAATAAAATCTACTCATCAACAAATAGTTCAAGATTGACTTGTTTCCTGAGCATTCTGGAAAGCAGCTTGCACAGCCACGCACAGTGACATGCCATTGGTAATGAAGTATTAAATCCAATGACACTTGAGAACATGCGCTCCTCGGGGTTGCTGTTGGTGTGTGTGTGTGCGACCCGGAGGCCTCTGATCACGAAGCATCTGCCCCCCGACAGAGAGAGCACACAGCCTCCCAGGCTGCTCGGATCTTCCCTCCCGGCCTAACTGCCCTAGGCCAGAGGCCTTGGTTTGGATTCTACCGCTGTGATAAAACACTTGGAAAGGAAAGGATTTCTTTGGCTTACACATCCCAATCACAGTCCATTCTGAAGGGAAGCCGCAGCAGAACCTGGAGGCAGGACTGAAACGGAGGCCACGGAGGAACGCTGCTTCCTGGCTGGCTCCCCATGCCTTGCCCAGCTACCTTCCTTATACAACCCACGACCATCCGCCTACTGGTGGCACCACACTTCCAGGCCTGAATGCCCCCCCCATACCAACCATAATTTTTAAAAGCCCCCACAGAGTGGCCTACAGGTCAGTCTAATAGAGGCAATTTTTTCAGTTGAGGTTCCCTCTCCCAGATGATCCTAGCTTACGTCAAATAAGCAAAGCAAACCTACCCAGCATGCCACAATTCCACACACCACCTGCTTCCTACAGGGCCAGACGCATCCACTCCACCTGCCAAAGTCTACACCACTTGGCAGCTAACTCCATTTTCATAGATCTTCATTCTGGCATTAAGCAATGGAGCACCAGCCACATGGTGGCACACTCCTATAATCCCAGCACTTGGATCTCTGTGAGTTGGAGGCCAGCCTCGTCTACAAAGAGAGTTCTAGAACAGCTAGAACTGTCTCGGGCGGTGGGGGGGGGGGAGCGCACGGGCGGCGGCACAAAGTGAAGGCTCTCTCCTCGCCCCCTGTGCAAAGACAAATGGCAATTCCTCTTCTGTGAGTTTTCTAAAATATTGGTCCCCATGGCTTTCATGGACCTCTGAACTGCGGCTCGTGGTCTCCAGCACAGCCTGGTTCTGGCCTCATTGATGCTGTAGCATCTGATGTCTTCAAGACCAGTCTGCGCACACCCGTGCTGCACAAACCGAGGCTGGCCTACGCTGAGGGCGGCTGACGAGTCCCCCGGCCTGTACACCCCTGCCTTTCCTTTACATTTTATCAAAGATCCTTCTAGATTTGCAGTATGTGCTGTGTTCTCTCCTAGGCAGGGCGAATCTTTATTCCCTTAGAATTCTACTCTGAAACAGTAGGTAAGTTCAGTCACAGAGGGGTTTGGAGCAGAAAATGCGACTGACATATTGAAGAGGGGGTTAGAGATTTTACCAAAGTCTGAGGTTGAATCTTACACAGGCAACAGAAAAATAAACAAATTTTATAGAGCATGGGGTGATGATTAATTTTAGAGAAAACAAAAACATTGACCAAAACGAGAGATATGGTTTTGATACAACATAGGCTTTGACTGTAGAAAATAGTTGCGTGATCAGAACAGCAAGCTCCAAATTTGATTTAGCTCTCAAGACTCGAGGGGGTACTTGGTGCTAAGGGACTGTGGGATCAGAAAGACCTTGTTTATTAGGGGACAACTGAACCCAGGCTTCACGCACATTAAGCAAACACACTACGGACTGTGCTGCAGCTGAGCCTGCTTTCCAGGTGTCTCTAAAGAAGACATCTGCCCACTCCCTGCAGTGGAAGAGGAGGCTGAGACTTCCTGACACACGGTCCCTGACTGGTAGGCACTAGCCAGAGCCTTTTCATGCTGCTGTTTAAATCAAGTTTCCTGTTTGTTATTCTGACCTCATAACTGTTTTCCTCACTGAGAGCTATGCCTCCTGGACACTGCGGTTACAGGTATGCGCCACCATGCCAAGCCCACCTTACGTTTTAACACTTCAGAGATAAAGTCTCAGAATGCAGCACTGAAGGTTAAGGGTAGGAGTAAAAAGAAAACTCAACAGATAAGAAGGCTAGTCCAGACACGATGAGGGGGGTACTGTTGTCCTGTGGGGGGTGCCTTCTTTTACCATCAAAAATAGTTAAAATGCCTGGGCACAAAAGATTCAATCACTAATTTTGATAAATCCAAATTATGAAGCTGTGTAGAAGGACAGATTGATTCCTGAAAGTCATCCTGTGATCTCCATACACCTCCTGTGGCATGTACACCACACACACACACACACACACACACACACACACACACACACACACACACTCTCTCTCTCTCTCTCTCTCACTCTCTCTCTCTCTCATATACTCGTGTAATCATGCTCACATAATCATGCTCAAACTCACACACACAGTCATACTCACTCACACACACTCATACTCATTCACACACACTCATACTCATTCACACACACTCATACTCATTCACACACACTCATACTCACTCACACACACTCATACTCACACACACACTCATACTCATTCACACACACTCATACTCACACACACTCATACTCACACACACTCATACTCACACACATACTCACACACATACTCACACACACTCATACTCACACACACACTCATACTCACACACTCACACTCATACACACACACTCATACTCACACACTCACACTCATACACACACAGAAAATAGCAGATCATCTGTGACTCAGTAGTGGCAAATGGGTCGAGTTCTGTGGACAGCGTCGAGTGCAGCCTGGGGAGATGTTTGGAGTTGTCAGTCACAGTGTTGAGGGGAAGATGGCCTGGAAGTCTGTGTGTGGGCAGATTCTAGGGCCACCTTGGAGGTCGGGGAGGGCGTTGCAGAAGTTCTCCAATCCCTAAGACTGAGCTGAGCCCCCATCCGACTGCTGGGATGTTCCCGGCTGCAGTGAGACCGTGTGAAAGGCACAGCCCTGCCCACTGTTCCACACATGGCTGCTGACCAGCCTCCCTCTGCCCCCTCATCTTCCCGCTCCACATCCTCAGTCCTCCTCCTGGCCCCACTCCCTCAAGTCCCACAGTGAAGTAAGGAGCTGCTCTTCCCTCCTCCCTGAGGTCACTGAAGGCTTGACAGGTCAATGGACAATTATTTTAAATTATTGATGAAGCTTATGCTTAAAGGAAATTTTATCCCTTTAAGTCCATACATTGATTCAAAAACCCTTCCCATGCTACGGCTCTCTCAAGGGTTTCAAAGTCCCGGGGAATGGCTCTGAGGTGGAATGGCAGGTGTTGAGGCCCTTTCAGGATGTGACTGAAGCTGCTGCCATCTTGGTCAGTTGTTAGCACAGCAAATCACCCTGTGGTCTGAAGTACATGCACGCTTCTCTTGGGGATGATCTTCAGCTCCTGGAAGACACCTCCTTAGCCCTTAAAGGCTGGGAATTCCAAGGCTTCTGCGAGAATAAGTGTGTGTCCTGCCCATGCTGGAACACCAGGCCAGCACGCCAGGACTCTGGGCTCCAGACTACAGGAATCTGGCGTCCAACAGCCAGGGAGCCCAGCCCATAGGGTCTGCACCTAGAAAGGTTCCCTAAAGTCTCCTTCCACTTGGGCTGGAGCAGGATGTTTGCCTCCACAGAGGCTGTGGACAGAGCTATGACTTGCTTTCAAAATTGTAAGAATGCTAGTTTTTTCAAAAAGGCACTCCTAAGCAAATGGGTGAAGCCCGATATACCTGTTGGAGAGCAGGGAGGGGAAACTGATAGCTGTACCAATTGCTTCTGTATCCCTGAGACAAAAAAAAAAAAAAACCAGCTGATGAAAGCAACCTATGGATGAAAAGACTGACTTGGGCTCACAGTTCCACATGGTTTTAGTCCATCATTTCAGAGATGCTGTCCCAGTAACTCGACACAACCTAGGCTCGCCTGAGTCTCAATTGAGGGATTGCCCGGCTGAGACTTTTTTCTGTGCCCATGTCTGTAGGGAGTCGAGTTGATTATTAATTGATATAGGAGTGCCCACTGCAGATTCAAATGGGGCGGTGGCGGTGGGTTTGCTTCAGACTGGTGGGAAATGCTCTGAACTAGGCTGAAGACAGCCCCATAGCATTATCAAGGTGCTCACACCAGCGAGCGACATACTCTGTCGCTTGACTCTCATCTCAACCGATGGCTTTTTAAATCATTTCCCAGTCCACTCCCCTCTGGTATGCAAGGTGCACTAGTGAAGGCCACATACAGGTTGGGACACAACAAAACATGAAGTTGGTGCCCCAGGTTCGTGCCCTCCCGGCCTTGCTCTCCAGCCCCTGGGTGGCCAGGAACAAAGACATTCACTACTGGGTTAAACGAAGCCAGAAAACTAACTTTTTTCTGATCAATAAAGTGTTGAAACTTGAATAATGTGAAGTATGCGGATAATAAAGGAAACAGAAATGGCCCATGGTTTCATCCATCAGAGACGCCTCCCACCGTCCAGAGCACGGTCTTCCAGCCTTTGCATCTCCACACCCTTACTTAATCACTCTCCAATCTTGGCCTCTGATTCTCAGGGTGCAGGAGCTTCTGGCTCCTCCTCCAGGCCTCTTAGGAAGCGTTTCCCAGTGTGGGGCTGGAGGATTAGGGAGGTCAGGGAGTCGCCTGCCATGAAGATTTTCTCTTAAACCCCTGGGTTTCTGGGTTTCTTCCTTTGTCTTCATTTTGATTAAAACAATACCAGGCCCATACCTCCTGTGAAGCGTCTGTTCCCTTTCTCTCCTTTGACTATTCATTTTCATTTCTGTTCATAGTCTCTCATGCTTAAGGCATGCATGACTCATTCCTGTGTGTGTGTGTGCACGTGCATGTGTGTGTGTGTGTTCGTGCGTGCGTGCGCGTGCCTGTGCGTGTATACATGCATGCCTGCCCACAATGAAGCAAACTGAATGGAAGTGAGTGTTTACAAAGCAGATAGACTGAGGTAGAGTGGGCTTTACCTGTGAACTGGTCAGCACACAGGTACAGAGTTCAGTTGAAAGGAGCACGTTGGAGACCTCCAGGTACTGCTAACCCTACAGAGCCTAACTCAGTCCTACTCTCTACAAGGTGGGGGGGGGGGGAACACAGCAGGCAGTGTCCTATGAGGTATAACAGGCCTTGGGCCCACCTCTCTCTAGTCCCTGTTCCCTTCTTTGCAAGCCCCTAGGCTTGTCAATGGCCTCCTCATCCACCTCACAAGACAGTTCACAATTCTTGACCCCAAGTGGCAGCTGGTGAGATCCTCCTCCACCGACCAGGGACTAGGTCCCCCTTGAGGGACACTTGTCTCTGGCATGGGCAACAGAATTCCTAAGACAGATAACTCCCCAGTGGGTAGTGGCACCTGAGGAATGCCCAGAAACAATAGCTTCACCAGAACAGGGTAGTGGCCAGGTCTCCTCAATGTCTATGACATTTTATTTATGTTACTTTATTTTTATATAATTTATTTGTTCTTTTAAATTTCATTTTACATTTCCAACCACAGTTCTCCCTCCCACCCCTTCTCCCGCTCCCCTTGCCTCCCCCACGAGCCCACCCCCAGTCTACTCCTCAGGGTA